GGGCGCCGCCCCGGCGCCGGCCCCGGAGGGCGTGCTGCGGCCCCGGCACGCTGCCGCCTCCCGAGGCCCCACGGGATCGGGCCCGGCCACGCTCGGCGAGCCGTTCTGGACCGGCCGGCGCCCCATCGCCCAAGCACCGTGGAGGGCGATCGATGGAGAGGAAGCCTGGTGCCAAATAATATATTTCCAGATGCCTGGGCGATGTTTCAATAATGTTTTAAGCATGCAAAACAAATGTCTGAAACATGGTTAGAGCATGTTTTACACATTTCCAACACATCTTGAATCCAATGATCGGATTGTTAGAGTGTCCACTGTCATGCCATCCACAACCCAAGCAGTGAGCCATCGCCAGTGGCGGCTGGGGCGGCCGCATCTTCGGCCTCTGGCGCTGGACACCTCGCTCTCTTCCACGCCGCGAGGCCGCACTGCTCGACGACGCCTTCCCCATCGCTGGCTTTACTGCCGCTCACTGGCACGAAGGGGTCATTCGGCAACCGACCCCCATGCCTTCTCTGCTGCATCCGCTCCCTCCCCGTCCACGTCTCCTCCTCCTCCTCCTCCCCCTCCCCCTCCTCCTCCTCCTGCTCCTCCTCCTCCTCCTCCTCCTGGCTTCCCGCCAGGCCGAGGAGGACCCCGCTTCCGCCACGGCCAGCGGCGGCTGTGGCGCTGCGTCATCCCAGAAGCTCGGGCCGAACGAAAGGGGGAGATAGGGAAAGGGGGGTTTACGAAATCTGCTGCATGCAGCTGGTTTCGGGCCCGCCGCCAGGCCCCTTCCTCGATACATGGGCGCCTCCCGGCGCCGGGAGGCGCCGGGAAACTCAGCTGCGCGAGCTGATTCTCAACCCCCCCCTTCGCTATCCCCCCCTTTCGCCCGGCCCGAGAAGCGCCTTCCCGCCGCTTTCCCTCCCGCTGTTATTGTGGTTGCTGTTGTTGTTGCTATGTTATTGTGTTGTTATGCCGTTATGCCGTTATGCTGATGGGTTGTTGCTGCCCATAATTCATGTCCCTTGCCCTCTTGAGGGCTGCCTAGGCTGCGAGCAGTGGGCGGTTTCCCTCCCGCGACCTCCTCGCGCCCTCCGGGGAGGAAAAGCCGGGCGGCAGCGGAGGCCGCGGCGCTGTGCCGCACGCCCTCGCCCGCTGGAGGCCAACGCGGGGCTTCGTGGCCGGCCTCTGCGCACCTCGTCTCCGCCGCGCCCGCGATGCGCCCCCCCCGGCGGGACGTCCCCCTACAGGGGGGTTTTGGACGACAAAATATAAAATAGTCAAACAATATTTTAAGATATGCAAGAATGGCCAAAACATCGTCCCCAGGCTATTTCCCTACCTAGGCTCTGCCTAGAAGGGTTCTTACTCTCTTAGCTTAAAGGGCCGGGCAATGGAAATCGCACCGGGCGGTTCCCCCAGTCCCCGCCCCGCGGTTCCCCCAGTCCCTTGGGAGCTGTAGCTTTAGCTTTAGCTTTAGCTTAGCTTTAGCTTAGCTTTAGCTTAGCTTTAGCTT